GACGAATTTGGTATTTGAAAAGTAGAATATCTCTTTTTTTAAATTAGTGGAGATTTGCATTTATAACCATTAAATACAAATTTTTGCGAATCAATTCACTGTAGTAATCTGTCATGTAGCCACGAAAAGCATAGGAGATAAAGCAAGCAGCTCAGTCATTGGACTATACAAATACAAATGCCAACAGCACACTTAAAACACCAAAACGAAGGAATTGTACCTTAATCTACCACGTTACAGTGGAATGACACCAGTCATATTGCATGAGGTAATGCCGAGCTACCTGGAAGTTATAGCATTCATACTAGGCCGCTGGAATACTGTTCTGCCTAGATGGTGATTCATAAAGCTGAATGTAAAGGGCATTTGCGTTGAATTTAAACAAACTTTGCACCTCCTTTCACTACGCACGGTGGAGATACAGGTGGCTACTTCCTTGAGCCACTTAAACCCCTCCCTGACAAATCTGTTATTTGAAAAGTAGATCCACTTCGTTTGAAATTTGTTAAGATTTATATTTATAACCATTAAACACGATGTTTAGTTTTCAGAATAAAAAGAATGGAATTTAATAAAGTCGATACTTTAAAAAAAATGCTAAAGCCTGACATCTGCCTTCATAAAGTCCTTATCATGAAAGCCAAACTACCAACAATAATTGGAGGAATAGCAATAAAACACCCTCCTACCTGGCTATCAAGTGACCAGCACAGTTCCTCTTCCATGACCTCCTCCTTCTCTGTGGTGATTGTCTTTTCCTTGTTAAATCCACCGTTTACTTGTATCATAGTGTTGGGTGGCGACACCTGAACACTTATACTCCCGCCTTTGGCAACCGACTTGGTCAGCTGAATACGACAAGTTGCCGTAGTGCGCTTTTCTGTGCGCATATTGTTCGTTTGCTCGGCAGACGTGGAGTTGGTGAAGGTGGAGGAGAAGATGACGGTGTTTTTCGGTTTGTCTGAGGGCTCTCCACACAAAGTGCCGCCTTGTTGATTGGTCGAGTAGACTGTAGGTCGGTTGTAGATGCGCAACTTCGTGTCAACAACACAGGAAGCATCAAGACAGTCGAAGCAGATCCTCTTCTTAATGTCCTCTTTGAAAGGAAAACTGCGGACGTATTCGAAGAGGATGTCGTAGATGTCGACTGTTTCTACTGACGGCATCGTGCTAGACACATTGGACAAATATGCATAAGTAAATCATGTCTCACGTTTTTTAGAAACCAAGGAAGGCATTGTAAAATTTTAGCCACTCAAAGCATCAAATTTCAATTTAGATTAGGTGTTAATGTAAAGTGTTTTGCAAACTAAACTTATGCGAGGTTTGGCAGTGGCGAATTGTCAACTCCTGCAAAAGTGGAACAAATTAGAAAGAATTCCACGATGACCACAGCAGACTAACCTTATAATATGGCAAAAGACACCGTCTCAAATCTTTAATTGACTTATAAAACATTAATGTTAGACAAGTTCTTGATTAAATTTCTTTTCGAGTTCTTGCCTATTCAGCACTATGTAGCTGTATTTGTTTTTCAAAGTTGTTCAGTGCACTTTGCCCTCAACAAATTCCCTCTCTCCGGCATGGTTACAGCCCGAATCTTGTTCGAACTAATCGTTAGGGCGTAACCACACAACTTGCATAGGCACTACCTTCCAACACGTTGAAAACGATTGTGCTTGAGACAAAAGGTTATCAAGGTTTGCGATCAGATCCCAACGACACAGCGTAGCTTGGTAAATTGTTGATCACCTTTTGGCTACAACCGACTACATAATGGCACCTATGAGACATGAAATCACTTTAGCCTAGACCGGATACCAATTATTACAATATACCACTGACTTGACTTTAATGACTATTTTCGGTATCATCAGCCATTCCATAAGTCTTGTAGATGCCTGCAAGTAAGCCTTGTCAAGCACTTTTCAGATACCACCGATGCTTCGGCTGGCATATTACGACTAAACGGATTTTGTTGCAGAACATTGTGAACCCACTTCAATCACGTGAATTTCCACAAGGAATAACAGCACAAGAATGGGTTAGAAGTAAACTCATTCAGGTAATCAACTACACAACGCGTTCGACGCACCTGATCCGGAGCCTTGACTATCTAGACAAACCATCTATCCACAATAATCCAAGTGGCTGATGTCAAACAAGCGCACTTAAATACGCCTGATACGTAATTTGTAATTTAAGCAATCTGTACTGGCCGAAATCAGTGAACAGTGATGGTCCTAACTTTTCCAGTCACCACTGCTTCGAGGCAGGTTTAAATAAAGTAAAGCATATGTTGCTGCTGACAACCTATCTACACAAAATCTTTAACAAGTGTGCGAGAAAAAACCTTTCAGGGGTCGATTTTGGATCAGGCTAAGGAATCAACTTTTAACTCCGAGATCATTTACCCAGGCTTGACAAAAGCAAAACCCATAAATATTTACAAGGCAACAACTCGTCCTCCACAAGTGTGATTGTATTAGCAAAGTTCGAGTATCGAAAGTCAACGGAGCTGCAATGTGCCTACTTTTAATCCCAAGTCAGTGACTAAAATTGGGTGAACATAGTCGCATGCCACATTTCTAATGATATTTGCGTCAGGAAAAATTTGATTACTAAGACAATATGGACTTATTTGAAAGTAATTAAAACACAGAAATAGCTGAAAATCTCAGTTATGATTTAACTGGCAACCGCCTAGCTCTAAGAATCCGGCATGAATTGGGTGCACGAAGGTGTACTTTTTAGTCAGTAAAACTTGTGAGGCTGCATTTACTCAAGTCAAAAGTGTAGCTGAATTCACTTAAGAAAGTATTTTTTTCGGTAAATAAATAAGATGAACCCGTGGAAAATGGTCGAATTTGATGCTTTTGCCTTCTCAGTTTTAACTCGGAACAACCTGTGAGAATTCAGGAACTGGACCTTCCTAGAACTCTCTGCACCCCAGCAGTGCCAATGAAATTGGCCCTGTTTCCAAACCAACCTATACACTTTCCACTCGATTTTCTGCCAGCACAGAATTGACCGTGGCTTAGAGCAGTAATTCCTTTACTTTTCGTGATTTCAGACTCGATCCTGTGGGTAACGGGTTCTGTAAATGACGAAGTTAGTTGGTTTGCAAATCACGAAACTGGCCTCTCAGTAACTAAGGAAATTTGACTAAAACAAACTGATCATCAATCAACTCAAAACATTTCAAGGTTATGTGATCATAAAAGACGATGTCATGACGCGTGTATGTATAGATAAAGTCCTACTGTAAAAAAATTAAACAATAATTACAAAGATGAAAGTTTGGAGTACATTTGCATATAATCGACTTCGAAGCATGGGTGCGTTAAATTGTTAAGTCTACGGAAACAAAATTATTGAGAATAACCCACATTGCACGGGACAACGAAGACTTCTGAATTTATGAAGTCCGAAGAACCCCAAAGCTATTGGTCGCAGGCAGAGCCAATGGGAACGAATACACTGAAGCGCGCAACAGGTGCATTTGATTCGACCACACGTGCGGCACAGGCGGCGGTGGTGGGGGTGGTGACGTGGTGGTGGCTTTGGGAAAGGACGTCCACGTATTAATCAATGATTAGGCGCTAGTGTGTGTGCACATGCCACAGGTAAATTCCCAGCCAAGTACGAACACACGCACGCACACACCCCAAATCACATTCAATCAAATCACAAGTGCAAATTTCACCAGTTCTTAGGCTTGTGGCTTCATGGGTGCTGCTTTTACCTTTACAATGCCTCTGACAGCATTTATCAGATGATTCTCATTATTCCGTTTGCCAATTACTCCATTTTTAACTTGTTGGTAATGCAAAGAGGGGACTTGGTGAGTTATGAGGTCGAGGGTGCTCCTCTTCTGGCAACACATTCCTGAACACCACTTTAATTGATCATCTAAAATGCTACCAAACCCAGGTAAGCACACTATGGGTTCAAGGGTACGTAGTCCAATTCTTAAACCGCCAACATATGATGACTCAGGCCACAGGCAAGCCAGGCAGCCAATCTGCAGTCAGTTTCGCACCATGGGGAGTAGTGTTATCGCTTAAAGTCAATAATATCGGGTAATTCAAACTGGTCTGGCCCCATTGGTAGATATGATTTAGATAAACACTCTTGACTGAGCTGATATTATTTTAATCAATAGATTTTTTAACCGAGAAGAAACAGAATGCATGTTGGCCAATAAAATTTTAAACCTAATACTAAGTAATTTTGTGTTCAGGTTTCAAATTCGAAATAGAAAAAAACGTCCATTTACGCCTTATAGATTTCATCAAATGAATGAGTAAGGGAACCGAAACAAAACATTCGTCGTCTGTCCGCCTGGTCGATTTCGAAAGATAAAATTTGGTCCAGTGACCTTCTTGTTTTGATAATGAATTGATCCGTGCCTTATTACATATTAATCCACAAATTACCATTGGATAGAGTTTCGCATGACTGATTGTTGACATTTCGCCAGTATTTCAACACTGAACTAACTCAGATAAACATTGAAACAAGATTTAAATGAGTTCCACACGTTTTGGCAGAAGGAAACAGAATAAACCGTGTTTTCACAGCCGCTTAATTACCTTTCCATCAGCGACTGAGACTGATTGTAAATCTTAGACGCACACAGCAGTGACCATGTCTGCTGATGGTCTGAATCAAAAGAGATCAGATGACGCGTAAGAAATAATGGATATGGTCAAATAATTAAAAAGTACATCAAGACATGTGAAGAATGAGGTGGCTTTAGGTACTGACACACGGTTAAGTTGATGTTGACAGATCATAAGTTATACAAAACGATTTGTCATTGCTGACTTCTTGATGTCTATAGTTCCTTTTCATGACCACGAAAAAAAGTGATTTTGCTTTCAATATGAACTTTATAAACTGTCTGCACATGTCTCCCATGTGCCTATTCAATATTATAAGAAATAGTTTGATCGTTAATGCGCTGTAACTGACGTCTGATGGGTTAAAGTAAAACAACTGCGACACATTTGGGTTCTTTTCATGTTTTGTTTAGCAGTCTTTTAGAAAGATGTGGATTCACCCCTGTTAATGACAGTAAGGTCTAATTTTCTTATAGTAAATTTCAAACTCGGGGAACATTTTTTACCTGATTCCATGACAATGGATTAAAGTTTAATACTATCGATTGAGGTCAGAGAGTAAAAATTATGAGTAAAAAGCTCTCAACCTGATTCCAACACTTGAGTTTTATAACAAAGATGGTTAGCGTAAAACACCTTTGCTCATTTCTGACATGGCTGCATTACCTATCTAAGTGACTGCATGGCTTAATGCTGTGGACTGAATTGATAGTCAAGCAATAACGGCCAAAATGAGCGATCCAAATTAGATTCTTGCTGCCTGCTGCAAATCACGTCTCTTCTAGCAACGCAACAGTTTCACACTAATTTAATCAGCTTTGCCACCCACAAGTAATGTGGTCTGAGTTTAAATCTTGCCATCAGAACAGACAGTTCGCAGAGTAAAAGTGTAGTGACCATGTAAGCATTTTCAATGTGCCCTATCACAGGACGTCGAAATTGCTTGAGGCTGGCCTTAAACTTGTTTCATTGACCGCTGAACCTGATGCCATGGTGACCTCTGGCTGTTTAATTTGTGCAAATTCAATCACTTTGATATTGACAACTGTTTTGACTTGCTAATTTTAAATAACACATGTTTTGCAAATGTGTTGTGTAAATAAATTCAGGAAACAGCTCTGTTACGCTAAAGTTAATGAAACTGAATACTTTATAAATATTGTTAGCTGTATCAATTAATTTTTAAAGATTTTTTAGAAAATTTATTTATAATCAAAAAATGGAGAACAGTGGACATTATCTTGGAAATATTGTTGTGTTCTATGGCCTTGCGCCATCTCCCAGGCAACGTATTAATGCTGTTGTGAAACAAACTTACGTACTTCAAGACAATGAAGTCATCATCGTCCAGAGCTTTGAACTGTTTATCCACTAAGGCGTGTTGCAGCATTAACCGGAGATAATGAGAGTCGGAGGAGGCAAGTCTGGTGAGCATGCCAGGTTTGGAAGAAATTCCCACCCCAAGTTCAAGAAGATCTTCTGAGTCACGCAAGCAACGTGGGGTGGTCGAGCGTTGCCATGCAGCAGCAGTATGACTTGCC